GTCCCTCTCTCAAAATAAAAATAAATAAAAAGGTCTGGGAATGCAGCTCAGTACAGAGGCCCTGGGTTCAATCCCCAGAACTACAAAAACCAAAAACAAACACACAAAAAAGAACCAGAGAATGATTATAAGGTACATGCAAATTTAGCTTATTATTTCTGGTTTATTACAAATACTACCCTCCCCACCGTGAGTATAAGCTTCACATGAAGAAATGTTATGTCTACCTTGTCCACCATTGCTTCTTCATGGCCTATAAGAAATTGTAGGAATTCCATAAATATTTGCTAGTCTTCATAAATGATCTGAAATCTCATGGCTGGCAGATGCCAAATATAGTTACTATGTGCTTTATGGTTTTTCTTATTTAATTCAAAACAAATTGTACAGATAGAAAGCTTAGATTTCAAGTTCAGTCAGCTATAAATGTCAATGCTAGGATTTGATTTCAAGTCTTCATGATTTTGAATTCAGTTACTGCCTCTGACTTGAAAGCACTGCCCTTCCAGGTAGGCTAGAGGAATATAGACAGAGTTCACTGGAAAATTGTTTTCTTCCAATCTCGTGCAGGATGATGAACAAATCAAATATAAAAAGAAACATTTCTGATGACTCTCACCATTTTTGTCTAAAGCAAGGACAAGAGGATATGTTGCAAAGCCAGATGACTAGATATTTATCAGTCAGAAATGTCTCAAAAATACAGCTTGATTAGTGAATTGCAGTATGTTCAGTAATTAATTAAGAGTTTGATTTGTAAAAACAAAGCATGATGGCTCCTACACACACCATGTGTCCCCTGAGCAAATGAAGACAGAGCTTAATGCGGAGGCTCCCAGTTCAGCTAAGCAGTCACAGATGTGACTCAAATTAGACGGATGAACTCTGAATAACAATAACACTATCCAAATTAGCAAATAGTATCTAAAATTTCTCCCAGAAAACCTGGGGACCCAGTCCAGGTCCAGGTTTGTGAGCTTTATAGTCTGCTAAAATTGATTTGGGGATGTGTTTGGGCCAGTGCCACATATCAGGAGAACTCTTGGAGAAATGTGGAAAGAATTCTAGTCACCTAGCAGAACAACACTGAGAGCTCTAAAGGCAAACTCACTGTTCATAAGTGGGAAACTGGTATGTGCCTATGTGTGCGTGTGTGTAAAATGGAAGCGCAATCTCATACAAGCACAGTGTTTAAAAAAGGGGAAATAATCCTTCTACTGAAAGAAGTCACCCTGCAGAAGGCAGATTTTGAAAGAGGCATTATTTTGCTTGCTTTTTTCTTAAGCTTTGTTGAGAGCCTATTTGACTTTTTAAATGAATACAAATATTTAATTTTAACCAAAAATTTTTTAAATGATTATTAGAAAAATGTTTACAAAACAAAATGGGACAGATCTTAATGAAACATTTGAAAAGTATATCTGTACAACCAAAGATGAATTGTCCTTTAGGGAATTTATGCAATAAATACAACTACAATTATAATGTACTTGGATTAGAATAAGACATACTTTTTAAGACATGTGCCATACACATTTTAGACACCCAGCAAACATACATCTTGCATGGGTGGTCATTTCTTTTTCACTGTAAAAATAGTTCACCCATACCATTTTGCTTTACAGTGTGATGAAATATAATAAAGGAAGAAAGGGGAGAAAGGGTCTATGCAAACTCATCTGTGTCCCTGCTATGTATTACTTGTGTTACTCAATTCCCTCTCAGTAAATGCTTTGACAATTCTCTATCTTGGCCATCCACCCATTCCTCGCTCTCCATCTCTCCCAAAGTTGCCTCAACAACTCTTAACAGAGCCTACTTCTGCAACTTGCTGTTCTGTTGCCCACTTCCTACCTCCTCCTTCCTTGCCACTTATGCGGCCATTTTCCTCATGGAACACCAATAAAGCTTGGTTTGGTATGATTTGGCTTTTCACTACTAAAATGGCATGGCTGGCCCATGACTGCACAAGTTGTCATGAAGACTGCCTTTACTTCTTTATGTCTGTACTGTGTTCTTCTGCAATTATGTGGCCTCAGTCAACTTCTTAGAAACTGTTTTCATCTACATAAATTTTAACGGACACATAAACTGAGAAATATTCAGTTGAAGTCAATAACAGCATTTGTAAAGAAAAGGAAGTTCATAGACTTCTGGAATTTGCAAATAATGTTTTTGTTCAACTGTGCCTTTCAATGTTTTAGCAGTACGAAGCACTTTTGAAAACTGAAGACAACAGTCCATCAGAGAGTTGCATTCCATTCTCTGAAGCTGAAAAGAAAATCCACAATTCCAGTTGAAAGGAAAAAAGCACTTATTTTAGTATTTTCTATAATTTCCTGATTAGAAAGAGAGAGAGGCACGCCTCTCATGACACTTAGTATTGTCATTTCACAGCCTTCAAATTTCTGATTCAGTCTTTTTTACTTAAGCCTACAGTACCCAAGTCTAAGTATATGACACATAATCATGCAAATCATCTCTTTCAGTAGATATCAACACCAACTTACCAAGAGAAGGCAATTTTGCTTTGTTTCACAATAAAGATCTCAACACTGGCTTATGCTTTGTTCTCTGGATCTCTTTTCACCTACAGTTTTAGTAATCTCCAAAACATCTTACTTGGGTTGATTTTTTTAACTGCCAAGCCTTGATATGGTTGTGCACGTGCTCAGTCCTAACTTGTTTTTAATGATAAAGATGAGCTGATAGCATATGTATGTGTTCTCCATTAAGCCAGGGAAATTAAGGGAGAATCTTTTCCTCAGTCCTTAGTCATTTAAAAATTAGTTTCCTTATTTTCCTGCCCCAGATGAATTCTGCATTGTTTTAATGAATTCATTCACAGTGTGAGGGCACACAGCATTGAAGAGACCTCAAGCAGTTTCACATTACAGACACTGACGTAGCTTGCTAGAGATCTTCAAAGGCTTTTGTACTTTATGGCTTCATCATTTTATGAGAAAATTATTTTTAGGCTGTCATGCTACACCCCCTTTCTTTTTTAAAAAACAACCAAAAAAGAAAAATATAAAAGGAAAAAGAATAAGAAGAATTAGAGGAATTAAAGGCAGAGGAAATGATCTGAACTGTCTGTGTTGCTTAGAAAGATTAAATAATGTGTAACTGATGTAGATTGTTGAAAAATAGATTTGCCTCATTTGTAAAATGACAGAAATTAGTAAAATAAAGCAAATGAATTATTAATAATTTTCAAATTTTTAAGTACTAGACACCTATTTTTTTTAAAAAAGCCCTTACAGAGAAGCTCAACAGACAAAAGGGAGACTCATTATCTTGCTTTTGGCAGGTTCTAGGGCACCTCTGTGAACCTCTTAGTCTAGACACTGGACTGGATGATCTCTGGCATGCATCTCCACGTCAAACAGTCTAGGGTTCTATTCAGTTCAACAAAAAATGCCACTGAGTGCCTCTCATATAACGAGAGATACAAAGATAAATGCAATATAGTTCCTCTCTAAAAAAGCTCACACAATTCTGTGTCTTGAACACAGTGGTCCATTGTACACTCATCTCATTTCCTTGTTAAACCCAAAAATAATCCAATAGTCTCTCTCCCTGAGAATAACAGACCTCAGTGCCCAGTTACTACTGGTTACTGCCACTCAATAAATCCTTACTAATTAAATTTATTGAGTGAATGAGAGCATGTGAGTTAAACAAATGGGTAATTAAGTAAAATAATGGATGATATACTAAGAGTGAGTAGAAATATAGTCCTAGGGAAATATTACATTTAATACAATAGCTTTAAATAAATATCCTTCCTATGAACCATTAAATCAAGTTTCTATACAGTTTTTTTTAAAAAAGAATACTGTTCCTTGTCAGTTCCCCTATAACAAGCAGTGATCACATACTTCAAAGGAAACTCTATCTTTTACTTAACTATGGAACAGTACTCCATGAGAGGAAATACCTGATTCCAACTGATGATTAGCATATGGTTTGAAAAAATAGGGAAAGGACTCTTAATGATTCTTAAATGTTAACTGTTCATAATATCATACTTAGGCCTTTTAAAGCCTCTCAACTTCAGCTAATATCCTCTAACAAGAAACTCTCTAATACTGACAAAGAAAATAAGCAAATGCCCAGCATATTTTAAATTGAGAGCTTAAGTATTCCTTATTCTTTCCTTTCCATAATTAGGTATTTGCATTGATTTCTTTCTACTGGAACAGTTTCACATAACAATCTGTCCCAGCACCTAGGATTTTCATTGTGGACCAAAGACCAGCTAAAAGATCAAAGTCACAGAAGAGTCCCCCAGAAAGTACAGGAGAACACTAATGGTATGTTGGTGAAATTTTTAAAACATCATTATTTACATTATCTACATTCACCAAATGCTGCCTCATCCAGATAAATACATCTCTTTGCCAACTACTCATGATCTTTTTGTTCTTTTAGGCTCAAAGACTCATTTTTAATATAATTCTTCCAATTGGTTCACTTACTTTAGAAAGTAAAAAATATAAATGACTTAAATGAAACTAGATAGAAATTCACATTTAGAGAAGTAACAAATTTTTATAAATGGCTCTTTTAATACAACTGAATATCCTCTGGGTATAAGAAGCATTACAAAATGGCCACAAGAGAGAAAAAAATCACTTTTGCAGCTCTAGCCAATAAAATGATCTAGAGTTAACTTAAATATTAACTCATACTTGTACAGATAAATCAATTTGGAATTTACTTAAAGGATAGCGTATTAAAACAAAAAGAAAACAGTTAATAGAGAATGGGTTGCCCATGCACTTGATGAAATACAATAATGATTTAAAATGATCTTCCTAAAAACCATTCAAAGAAAATCTTATTGCAAAAAGAGGATATTTCTACAAGTCATTTTGATGTAGGAAGATAAAACAGCAAATTTTAAATAATTCATTTTTTAAAAATCTAACATGATTCTGGTTCATTCCAAATATTTACGAAAGAAAGTTCGGGATTTTCACTTTATTGGTCTTTTATGTATTCATATACCTTTTATAGCCAGAAAAATAAATATGTGTAACTGTCTTCTACAGCAGAGTTGTTGATAGTGGTTTGTAAATATTTTCTCCATTTTCTAGATTATCTTTCGTCTTCTTGGTGTCTTCTGAAGCACAGGAGTTTTTTACTTTGATGAAGTTTTATTCATCCTTTTTCTTTCATTCCTTGTGACTTTATCATAACACTGTAGATAGATAATTTAACTATATATTTTAGAGACAGATAGACAAGACCACCCTTTCGGCGCCACCTCTTTAAGTCCCCAGGCCTCAAGGTGCCAACCCTCCAGGAGCCAACACAGCAAAGAGCCAACATAAAAAACAATTACGACACATTTACTGGTTAGCATTATTTAAAAAAAAAGAGGTACTATTCCCCTAAAGAGAGTAGTGATTGATATTCTAAATTAAATATTCCTTGTATACTCAGCCATAAAGAGTGAGAAACTAGAGACATTTATGGCTAACTGGATGCACAATGAGGCTATACTTTTAAGTGAAATAAATAGGTCACACTTAAGTAAATACCGAATAGTTTCTCTGGTACAAAAAACTAAAAGTGTAAATAAGATTCAAATGGTATAGCTAATACCGTGAAATAGGGACAGAATGGCTAAAGGGGAAGTGGAAAGGCAAGGGGAAAGGAAATAAGGGAAAAGAGAAAACGTGAAACAAGGAAAAAAATGGAAACAAAATCTTTGTAAATAGGAAAGGGTGAAACTGGTGAAGGGAGGGCAGGGGTGTGGGAAAAAACAAGAACCATGACTTATCATGTGAAAGTACAAGATCCCAATGATAAATGTAACTGTGTTGTTTGCTCTACATGTACCAATAAACTTAATGGGAAAAAAATTCCTTGTATAAAATTTGTTTTCCCATTTGATCCCCATTTAATCAATATTACCTGGGTGAGTATACTTAAAAGTTACATCTATTCCCCCTATATCAATAATACTTAAGAACCCAGTCTAATTCAAGGTGATGCAGATTTATGTCTATGTTTTCTCCTAAGAGTTTTATCCTTTTAGCTCCTAAATTCTGGACTTTGATTTGTTCTGAATTCATATTTACATATGATCTGAGATATTTTCAAAGCATTTTGATCAAGCTATATGGCTATGCATGCTTCTAAAGGTCTGTATCTTAAATACTCTCACAAAGTTACAATGGTTATATTACTTTATTTTCAAATACTTGTTTTGTCTGTTTTGCAAAATAAAAGACAACCCAGTTAAAGAAACAAAAGATTTCAATGGGAAATTTCTTCAAAGAAGATATACAGGTGACCCAAAAAGTGAAACTAGTCACTAGTGAAATGCAAATAAAAAACTCAGATACCACTTCATACACACTAGGATATCTATGACCAGAAAGACAGACAATACAAGTGTTGGTAAGAATGTGGAGAAACTGGAACTCTCATATATTGCTGACAGGAATGTAAAATAGCATAGTCTCTTGGCAATTCATCAAAAAGTTAAACACTTACCAAGTAACTCATCAACTTGACCTCTAGGTATTAGATGTCTGCTCACCCTGGAGAATGGGCAACTCTTATACAATGTAGAGAAGATTTAATTTCCAAGAGACCAAATTGATCAGTAAGAAACCTAATTGCCTCACAGAACAAATTCCAACAGTTTTTAAAGGAAGAAATAAAATCCAAAAAAACCCAACAATATAAAATTAAAAATATCCATCACCCAATAGAAAAGTTTTAGCCATCTAAAGAAACAGAAAAATATGATCCATAACCAGCAAAAATTACTCAGTGCAAACATTCCCACAACTAGCCAACATGAATTTCCCAAAAACATCATCTAAAAAGTTATTCAAAAGAAAACATAAATATGGAAAAGAACTGGTACTCAGAAAAGGCTGGAGAAAGAAGGGAGGGTCCACCCACCTTAAAGCCTGCTTTCTGGGATAGATCTGAGACATAAGGCAACCAAGGAAACCGCTTTGGATAAAGGTAGGACCCACTTTAGATCTGCTTTCTCAGACTAGATCAACCTCCTGGGTTAAAAATTAGCCCAGGACCAGGATGCTCAGATCTAGACACAATAGAAATAGAAAAAAGTAACCTGTTAGCTTATACAAGTCAGTCTCTGGGTGTGCAGTCTTCTGCAACCCTTGGCTAACCCCAACCCTAACTATGAAGTTGCCAACTATGTATATTTGATCTATTCTGTTTGCTTTGGATGCCATGACAATCGTGTAAGGAACATAAAAGGTCAAAAACTACTGCTCATGGGGAAGGAAGGTGGCTGAGTCAAGCCACTCATTGGCACAAGTCAGACCTCAGACCAAACCTGCGATCCCACCTCAAACTCTGAGGCCTACACTCACAACATCAAGCCCCTCAGACTATGAGCTCTTCTCACTAGCCCCTCCCACTCTGGGGTGTATCTTGTTTTTTCTCTTTTAAATAAATCAATGACCATGCTGCAGCTCTTGTGTGTCCTGCTCAGTTAATTATATGAGACATCAAGAGCCTGGACAAAAGGAAAAAATGGAAACAATTTTTGTAAATAGGGAAGCGTGAAGGGGGTAAAGGGAGAGCAGGGGAATGGGGAAAAAATAAGAACTAACACCTATCATGTAAAGGTACAAGGTCCCAATGATAAATGAAACTGTAAATTTAAATGTAAATGTACCAATAAACTTAATGGGGGTGGGGGGGAAGGAGCCTGGACAAGACCCCAATCTGGCAACAGAATCAAATATAAATATGAAAAATATAATATATGAAATGAAAATTTTGCAGATAAAATGCAACAGCAGATTAAAGACTACAAAAAAAAGAAATCAAGAAGCATGAGAATACATCGACAGAATTTTTTTTTAATGAAAGCGTAAAAACTCTGCAAAAAATAAATGAACAAAGCTTCAATGACTTGGGGGATCTGATTTGCTTTATGCACCTGAAGTCTCAGAGGAAATGTACATCTAGGAGTGGTAGGCAGAAAAATACTGGAAGAAAAAAGGCCTACGTTTTTTCCACTATGAACCTACAGAGTTGGGAAGTTCAAAAAGCCCTGGGCATTATATACCCAAGAAAATATACCACGGCACATCAAAATCAAATTGCTGAAATCTAGGAATAGAGAGCAAGTCTTTAAAGCAGATAAAGACTAAGACTCACTACTTGTGTTTTCTGACCGAAAAGGAGTCTGAATAAATGAATAAAGATAAGCTTGACCATGGATTTCTTGGCAAAACTCTGCAAGACAGAAGACAATGAAAAAATATCTTTAAAGCACTGAAGGGAAAACAACAACAATAACAAAGACTTCCTTCCCAGAATTCTACTCTCACTAAAAATATTTTTCAAAAAATGAAGCCAAAACATTTTCAGAAAAGCAAAACTTGAGAGAATTTGTCATCAATAGACTTGCTCTACATGAAACACTAACGGTTGTTCTCTAAGTGGAAGGAAAATGATATCACACAGAACTTATCTATGTTGAGGAGTAAAGAATGCTATCAGTAATAAAAAATGATTTTTAAAATTTTTTCTAGTAATAGATTTGTCTCATACCTCAACTGTGGAAAAGGTTTCATGAGTGTTAAACATTTGCTAAAACTCATCAAACTATAACCAGAGGTAGCACGTGCCTGTAATCTCAGCACCCTGGGAGACTAAGGCAGGAGGATCACAAGTTGGAGCCCAGCCTGAGCAACTCAGTGACTTAGCAAGACCATCTCTCAAAATGTAAAAAAGGCTGTGGATCTAGCACAATGCAAAGGTTGTGGGTTCAATCCCCAAAACTGGAAGCAAATAAAATAAAAACCACAAAACCTCATCAAACTAAAATGGTGTTTAAATACGTGCATTCTACTGTATGTAATACTTAAGTTCCCTAATACTTCTAGCACTGCTACTCTTTAATGTGATTTTCTTGATTTCTCAAGAAAATACTGGATCAATAATTTGAATTTTATTCTCCTATAAATAAGCACCAATGGAGGAAAAACCCATCAGATTCAAGCCACTATAACTGTGAACTTCCCAGCCTCAGATGCTTTCTCAGTGACCTGTACAAATTCTTTATATGTCGTTAGTTATGGCCTCTTCACCTCAAATCAGTTCTTTTTGTTTTGATTATAGGGGTTGATGTTTGTGAGGATTCTCCCATTTTCAACTGAAAAAATTGTCTCATTGCTGATTTATAAAATAGAAGTAATCTGACAAATTCTTCCAACTGCCCTTCCAATATAAACTGATCTACACATTCACAATCCTTATGCTTTTCTCATCTTTCAGGAGATGAGATGTACCTGTGGTTCAAAGGCCATCTCTCCCTTTGATCCTGGCCTCCTGTACCACCAGAGGCCACACCAACAGTTCTCTCACCCCTCATCTTTAGCTTCCCTCACAACCTGCTCCTACATCCACCCAATCAATGTGTTCAAATATCTTCCTTCCCCCAAAAAATAAAACCAAAGACCTCTTTCAGCTAACTACCATACTTGTCTCTTCTAAATTTCTCAAAACTGAAAGCAGCCTGTATTCCCCTTGCTTCCCCTACCTACGTTCTCCCTTTATCTCTGGATTCTCTCATCTACAACTTCACTAAACTCCGTTCTAGAAGTAAATCCCTCAAGACAGCACACTGAGAAGAAGCCTGACAGTAGCAGCCTGTGCCCTGCCTCACTCAGTAACTTCTCTGGCCTACCATTTCTCACCCTCCGAATGCTCAAGTTGGACAGGAAGATATCGAAAATCCCTAGCCCTTTAAATATTGCTATCTTTCACGTTCAACATTCAGTCTATAACCATTACTGGACTTCTGCTTCCTATTAGCTTTCAAACTGGTTATCATAAAATCCAGGAAGATTGCAAGTTCAACCCCAACTTGGATAATGTATCAACTTAGCAATATCCTGTCTCAGAATTTTTTTCAAAAAATAATTTTTTAAAGGGCTAGGAATATAGCTTAGTGTGAAGTCCCTGGGGTTCCATTCCCAGTTTCAGGCCAAAAGAAAAACTCCAGTAGTCACAGCACCTTATCTCCCATGCTCAAACTCCCCAGCCATTTGGGCATTTTCAGCCATAAAAATCCTTATTGCTTTGAGCTGCTAACATCTAAACGTCATACTGTTTTATCCCAATCTCTTTTTTTAAATGCACAAGTCAAAGAGGAATGGATTTGTTCTCTGTACACATAACTTCAAAAATACC